TATCTCGGAAACGAAGCATATTTCGACCTTTTTTTATAGGAACTTTTTTTAACAAAATAACTTTGATAACAATTTGCAAAAATCGTCCGTACTTATTTACAAATACCCTGTATAAAAATACGTTTTTTAAATAATAACCCATTTGATACTAGTTTGTGCAACAACAGTGGACAATCCACTGGAGTTGTACAGTATGTTTTTTTCTACGACCCACTAACGAAAATCTACAAATTTAAAGTATTATTTTAGGAAAAGACAAAATAATTAATTTTAAAATAATTTATGACTTTACTAATTTGTGAAATAAAATAAACATGAAAAAATATTTCATTTAATTAGTCCCCAGCGCAGATTTGAACTCGGGCCTCTCGCGTGAAAGACAGATGCCGTATCATCATTTTCACCTCCACATTTAAAATTTTAGTTCTAAAAGTAGTAATTAAATTAGTTTCATATAGGTAGTTTAATTCAAATTTAGGATTTTTTAAATTGTGGTCTAAATTAAAATTATTTATGAATCCTACGCAAAAATAACTCATTTTAATGTATATTTAATCTCAATTCCTAAAAAATATACTGACAATTAGTTTGACAGAATTGTCACTTATTTAAAATTTTAAAAATAATAGTTGTTGGGTGTCCAATATATAAACTGTGATTGGTGAATTTCATTTTTTTGCAGTGTTCTCACTACCCAGAATGGATATGAAATATATTCGTTGAGTTGAACGAAATAGTATATTTTTTCGTTTTGTAGTCTGTGCGTGAATAGTAGTTTGTGCAACAAAATTGGATATGATGGCCATATCGCACGAAGACGAAGTTTCAGAACGACGCCGTAGACGGAGTGCTTAATCGTCTGAGTGCGATACAGACAATCCACTCGAGTTGTACAGTATATTTTTCCTACGACACCCTAACGAAATTCTAGAAATTTAAAAAAGTAATTTATTAAGACAAAATAAATAATTTTAAAATAATGTATGACTTTTAATAATTTATAAAATAAAATAAACATACAAAATGATTTAATTTAATTAGTCCCCAGCCCTGATTGGAACTCGGGTCTCTCGCTTGGAGACAAACTCCGTGCCGTCGCCACACTTGCCATTATAGTTCTAATACTTGTAATTAAATTAGTTTTATATGGTTTGATTAAAATTTAAGATTTGTTTATAAATTTGGACGAAATAAAAATAGAAATTCTATTACTTATCGATTATGCATAAGAAATATTCATTTTTACGTATATTTAATCTTAATAATTCAAAAATATACTGACAGTTAGTTTGACTATATAAAATTTAAAAAATAATAGTAGCCGGGTGACCAATATATAATCTGATTGGTGGATTTAATTGTTTTGCAGTGTTCTTACTAGGTAGAATGAATATGAAATATATTCGTTCAGTTGAACGCAATGGAATACTTTTTTGTTTTGTAGTATGTGCGTAGATTAGCTAATATTCATGTGGGTATAGAAAAAAGCATATCTATGTGGATGTAGAAAATAGTAGTTTGTGTAACATGAGTGAATATAAATTAAATTGATTTCATATAGTTTAATTAAAATTTATAATTATTTATTTCTAAATATAGATCAAATAAAACTAGAAATGCTATTATTTATCGATTCTACACAAGTATAACTCATTTTACGCAATAGCATATTTTTTCGTTTTGTAGTCTGTACGTAGATACGCTATCCATTTGGGTGTAGAAAAAATTGTTTTCTAGTACTAAAAATATTTAAAAATAACATTGAGTAAAATGATTTATTATTAGTAAAAGAAGGAATAAAAATAATCATTTTTATTGACTATTGGTCGGATTTCTCCTCGGATTTCTACTCAAATTTCTAATATCTAAACCTCTAGTGAAACGTGGATCTCGGGTAGTATACAATCTAAATAAAATTGCTTTAGTTTGTTTTCCATATACACCAAAATCTATCATCTTTTTTATTTTTTCTACTAACATACTTAAAGGTATTAAAATAAATAAAAAAAAAATATTTCGTTTAGTTACGTTAAGTTGCCCCTGAACAATTATTGCATTTTCGCATTATCATTAATAATTGCAAATTTTATTATGTTGTCAACCATTGTTTTTTTCGGAGTCAGTTTTGAAGCAGTGGCAGGATATTTAATTTCAATAATACTGTCTGTTCCTAATAAACCGTCGGAACCTAAAAAACCATATTCAGAATCCACAAATAAACCACATTTATTGGATATCCGCTTTAAATTTGTAAATATTGCTTTAAAGCTAAAGGTTTTTTTTTATTCAATACTTAGTATATTAATTTCCCATATATTTTAACTTTAATGCTTAGAAGGGGTGCTAATGTTTGTCTTTTTCTAAGTAATCTAGCACGATAGATAGATAGATTTCCGTTGAAACGGAAATATAATTTTCGGCATTTCCGAAAGTTTTCCCATTTTTACCACAAATTATTATAACTCAGCTTACACATAAAAGTTCATATAAACACATTGACTAAATACGAAACAAAAACACCTACACTTGAACTAAAAAGAATAAAGTTTTTTATTATTTTATTTTTATCCCAATTTTGCGGTACTGCATGCACCGCCAACGTCCGCCGCCTTGTTGCCAAATCAATTAATATGGATTGGAATCTTGACAGATTTTCTCAGATTTCCTAATTCAAGGTTTTCAAAAAATATACGCTTTGGACAAAAAAGTGTATTGGAAAGAATTAGCTGATTTTTATATAACAATTCCCGGTAAAGACTCCTTTTTGCAATAATTTTCATAATTTGTATAGAAATAATTAAAAAATTAGTTTTTCTGAATTCGGGCTCTACAGCGGAGTTCTCTATCATTTGCTTAGTAGGTATACCAAATTTTATAAAAAAATATTTAAAACTGAGAAAGAGAACCTTGAAGTCGTTTTAAGCCTGTTTCTAACCATGGATATCGCTCTTAAAAGAGTATTGCTTTTTTTGTATGGTAGCATATTTGCAACACGCACCCGCTCTTGCAAAATTAATATGCGCGCCTGCTCCACGGTTAATTATAAAGTTGTCATTATTTATTTGTATATTGAAAGAAGGCCTTTGTAAATTACATTGCTCTCTATGGATCTACTTTAACACAAAAATAGTTTTGTGGCTATAAGTTGCTATAACCTATCGTCGCAAAACTATTAATAATTTAAACATAGTAAGTAGTATTAATATAAAATCAAGTAATTTTTTAAAATAAAGTACATGATCTCAAAATAGAAATAATTTATAATAAATGCGGGTAAAACGAGGGGTAAAGTAACAATAAATTAAGGGAAATACTTAAAAAGGGCAGGTTTAAAGAGTATTATCACAATAAAGTATATCCGTTCTGTTCATTTATCAAGTATTGTTTGAGGTTACTTTTGAATACATTTATTGTTTTTTTTTTAATTTCTGCAGGCAGTCTATTAAATTTTTTAAATCTTTAATAAAAATTGTTATTTTGGGAACTTTTAGTCGGCATGTCCTTTTTGCCCACAAATCTCTGTTTTCTACCTGTGTAAGTAAAGGGGTGCGTTAATCTTACTGGTATTTTGCCCACAGTAGCATTCAGGTACCTAAACCCGCAAATTACATCCGCCCACAAATAGGTACCTACCTGATTATTAATAATTCTAATAGGTACTTACTTTGGGTGTTTACTGTTTATATTTCAGTCAATTTTTATACGTTGATGATTGTAATTCGAGTGTTTATAAACAATAATTATTTCTATAATGTCAGCTACATTGATTAAAAGCACACGCGGGAAAGATGTACTCCTTTTGGAGAATTTTACGTTTGCCAAAGATAGAGAAATGAAAAGTGGAGAAGTTTCTTGGAGATGCTCCCAAAGAAAAACAAATGCTTGTAATGCCACTGTATTTACAATTGGTCCTGAACTTTTAGTATCCAGAGGCAACCTAATTCATAGCCATGAAGCAAATGAACCGAAATTAAACAGGAAAATTATTTCTAATTCGTGTAAGCGAAAAGCAGTTGATGATATTTCGGAAAAACCTTCTAAAATTATCCGTAAAGTACTTGCTACTAATTTACCAGAGTCACTAACTACAATTGATGTGTCCTACATAAGAAAAACTATATACAACAGTGTCGCAAAATACTACCAGGTCCATTACCTACAAATATACAAGAAGTGCATGATGCAGTTGACTTATATTCTAATACATTTAAAACCAGTAAAGGTGAACATTTTCTTTTAATAAATAGCAGAGAAAATAATATTATTGTATTTACATGTGAGACAAATATTCGTACTTTGTGTAAAATGAACGTCTTGTATATGGATGGAACATTTTCGTATTGTAAAAAGTTTTTCCTACAATTATTTACCATTCATGGGCTGTGTAATGGACACTATGTGCCCCTGGTATATTGTTTATTACCAAACAAATCTACCGATATATACAAACATTTGTTTTCGTTATTGCATTATAAAATTTTGGAAACTTACAGTATTGTGTCCTAATACTGTAATCAATGGCTGCCGATTTCATCTACATCAAGCGTGGTATCGTAAAATTCAGTCTCTGGGATTAATGACTGAATATACAACTAACAGTGATACCGGAAAATGGCTTAAAACATCATTTGGGTTGACATATTTAAACGCCGATGAAGTTGGAGACTGTTTTGTGTTTGACTTAATGGCAAGTAAACCAGAAAATGCCGTTCTCGATAGGTATGCCGATTACCTATTAGAAACATATATTGAAGAAAATTCTACATTTCCTCCAAGTATATGGGCAGAAAAAACAGCTTCAATTACAAGAACTACAAATGCCTGTGAGTCGTTTCATTCAAGGTTTAATTCTTCATTCTACTGTACACATCCTTCTGTATATATTTTTATAGAAAAGCTTAAAGACTTTCAAATCGACACGTATGTCACAATACAAAGCTCGAATTTCGTTTGTAATCAGTGAAAATACACTATAGTAACAGGCAATACTAACTACTAACCTGTTTGGTTTTCTCTGGTGCATATTCCCTTATTTGTATAACGATAGTTTTCTTTCCTTGCGACGCGTTCCATCTGGACCAAGCGAAATTAAAAACGCCGCAAATAAGAGACATGTTGGAATACAAATGCTTTTCCATCGGCCAATACTTTTCGCAACTACCTAAAATCCAACAGAAGTTAACAATAGGAAGACATCTGTTTTGAACAATGTTTTAATATCATTTAATGTTTACGTCAAAAATTTAAGAACGATCGACACACTCTGTATAATGTAATATAATATAAAATAAAATTACAAACCGTCTACGTAACAGTAGGCATCGTGTTCAGGAAATATGTCTATACCAGTTTTTTTTAACATCTGAAAATAATAATAGGTACATTTTAATTAAACATCTATCATCATTCATTTAAAAAAAAAATGGTTCTAAATTAGAAATTAAATACTGTCAGTTAAAAACGAAAAATTGTAAGCTATGACGTGCGAGGTTTTTTCCACTATCTACTTTAGAAATATTTTTATTTGGGTTACTATATGAAGAGTGCAGGGAAGAAAGGGGGAAGGTCATTTTTTGATGTTTTTGAGAATTATCAATTTTTAATGTTTAAAACCCTATTTTAGATAGAATAATGACTTATTTGTCACTTTTATAATTTAAATAATTCAAATAACTACCTGGTAACATGTTCGTAAAAAATAAAATAAAAAATTACTTATAAGAGTGCGAAAAAAATTTATTGTCACAGAGTTACACAGTAAGTATGTAAAATAATTTTAGGTTTTCTTAGGATTTTGGTTCTTCTTGGTAAAGGCCTTTTTCTTAACTGGGATGACGGTGTGCGGCAAGTTCCCATAATAGTTAATCGCCTTCTCAGTGCTGCATAGTTTCTTAAGATCCATTAAATCGCGATATTTCTCTGCAGATATTGGCTTCAAATCTAAAAAAAAAGACTTAAATTGGATGTAGTAAGGTTCTCTTTATGATGTTTTTCTTACCAAAATAAAGTTTATGTGGCAGGACAAACTGGCCATCTGGAAGCTTGGGTGTGATTGTATTTTTCGATGCAACAATGCGTTTGCGGATTATTGAGATGTTCCAGCATCCATTGTATGTGTTTCTGAACTCAATTAATCTACAAACAAAATACAAAGACAAAACACAAAATACTATGATTACAAATCGACAAACTGGACACAGTACAGAGACAAACTAGACACATACATAACAATAAATAACAACATCAACACAGTAGAAAAACTTGAAAAAGAAACAAAACTATTAATACAAATAATACAAAAAGCTAGAAACGAGACAACTACGCTAAAAACACTGACAGCACATTATGACAATCTGCCACCCGAAATCACTGAATTAATTAGTAACAAAAACAGACTAAGAAAAAGGTGGCAGACGCACAGGTTAAACGATGATAGGGTTATGATGCTAAATCTCGCTAACAACATAAACGAAATGATTAGAAACCATAGAAATAAAAAATGGCAAACAACCCTATCAGAGTTGAAACCACAAAACAACTCATTGTGGAGAGTAGTGAAGAGGTATAAAAAACCCTACTCGCTGCTCCCCACTTTGAGACGAGGACAAGAAACATTTATGACAGACGAAGACAAAGGTCAAGCCCTAGGTGAATTCTTTCAAGCTCAATTTGTCAACAATCAGCCTAACAACCCTCAACAACAGCGAGTTGAAAACATTGTTACCGCTCTCGGTCAAATAGAACCACTTACAGTGCCCCATTCTTGCCTTACCACTCCTAGAGAGGTATGTGAGGTAATTAGGTATCTCAAAAACAGAAGAGCTCCGGGACCGGACGACATTAACAATATACTGCTAAAAAACCTCAGCAGGAAAGGTATCGTGCAGATCTACCACATAATAAATGCCATTTTCAGACTACAACACTACCCTAGAAGTCTGAAGATGGCAAATATTATACCAATTCTAAAACCGGGAAAACCGAAGAATAATATTGATAGCTACCGCCCCATATCACTACTTAACACACTCGCCAAAATAACGGACACTATTATATTACGACGATTAAAAACAATTGAACAACACATACAGATTATCCCGAAGGAACAATACGGTTTCAGAGAGGGGCACAGCACCGTGGCCCAGGTCTTGAGAATTGCACATCATGCCAAAGAGGCATTTAATCGGGACCTGCAAACGGTGCTGGTGGCGCTTGATTCAGAAAAAGCCTTTGACACCGTATGGACCCAAGGGCTAATATACAAAATGATTATGAATGACTTTCCTGGGCACATTATCAAAACAATTTTGTCATATCTTACGGACAGAAAATTCAACATCAAAATAAATTCTACAATAACAGGACCTTTCCTAGCAATGGCGGGAGTACCACAGGGCTCTGTACTATCGCCGCATTTGTACACCATCATGACCCATGATTTACAAATGGGACATAATGGGGTGCAAACGGCGCAGTACGCCGTTGACATCTGTATCTACACCAGTCATAAATTAGCACAAACAGCGAGCAGCAGGCTGGATAACCATATTAATGGAACATTAGTGAATTATTTAGCAGAAAACAAGATGAAAATCAACACAACTAAAACCGAGTCGCTATTGTTCTCAAAAAGGCGTGCCCAAGGTATAACCACGCCCCTTCAGGTGCAAAACCAACCAATCGTTGTCAAGTCAGAGATGAAATATCTTGGTTTTCTGTTGGATAAAACACTATTGTTTAAGGCCCACATTAAAGACAGGGTAGGTAAAAACTCCGGTATTCTGAGGTCGTTGTACCCCTTAATGAATAGACGGAGCAAACTATCCCTGCCGAACAAGCTACTACTATATAAAACCATATTTAGGCCGATACTGACATATGGTTGTCCAGTATACTGCTCAATGTCTAACTCCTCATTTGCACCACTTCAAAGGGCTCAAAACAGATGTCTGAGGCTAGCACTTGGCTACGATCGTTATGCTAGAATACGAGTCATACACGGGACGACAAATATGCCTATGATCAAAGATTTTATCATTGAAACCTCTGAAAACTTCTTCGCGCGATGCCTCCCTGTGGAATTAAGGGAAAGCATCACCCAAATTCACCAGGGAGACGGCGTGCGACGGAAGCACGGCTGCATTCATAGCAATCTAGGCATATATAGACGACAATAACAGGACTCCTGACAATTTAAAACTATACTAAACAATAATTCACACGGACTAGATATTTACGAAATCTAGTCCGACGGAGGACTGAACGATAAATTGACCGGCGGAGTCGCGGCCGATAGCGATTATTCGCACTCGACCGAGGCACCTCCGGGTGGTTTATAGCTCACCCTCTCAGTGAATTATGACAAAAAACCACAGACTACCACAGACCACCCATCACGAACGACAACCCTGTTTTTTCTAGCTTTTTCAGGGGACAATAACGAAATTAAGACACGACAGACCTTTAAAATCATACAATTCCCGATTACAATCCCACCTAATCCCTTAATAATACCCCACGGGTAAGGAGTAGGGGCGGCTATTTTTATAGCAGAAGACATAATGAAGAAATGTGAATGCATATATCGCCTTAGGCCATAATTGTAGAATTAGGGTCGCATTCTGTACTGTGTACAGGATGTTTTGTATTATATGTATATATGTTGTTGTAAAAATTTTTAAAAGTGAATAAAATGTTTGAAATGAAATGTAGGATGTTCTTGGGAAATTTTTACTTCTCTAATCTCCCTTGATTTGTATGAAGGTTTGGTCATATAAATTGAATCCAATAATTCCGTCCAATTTCGAAGAAGTGCTTGGTCAACTTCAATTACAATAAAAGGTTCTGGTGGGGTGGGTTGGCTCAGTGGTTAGAGTCATAACTTTGAGATCGGAAGGTCTCAGGTTCGAATCCCACCGTTGGCCGGGATTTTTTCATTTAATTTAATTATTTGAAATTCAATTCTGATGCCTTGGTAGGATTCCCCACTCGACCATTCACTGTTGGGTTCTAATTAACAGTGCTGTTCCTAAAGTGGCGCTGGGAAACAGTTACAAAGCCTACACAGAACACGAGGCCAAATTAAAAAAAAAGGTTCTGGTTTTACTCTGCATGATTTTATTTCATTAAACCAATCTTCAGGAAGTTCAGCAGGAAGTTTTTGATTAATTAACGCCATGTCCCTGTCGCACTCCATGTAAGAGTGACCCCGCACCGGAAAGATCACTTGTATAGTGTCTAATCTTTTAGCAACATGGACAACGTAATGCAAATACCAAAACACTGTAAAGTTCTTATTTTGGCCCCCGCACGAGTCACAGAAAATGCGCAAATGTCTTAACTTTACTACTCAGTTGAACAAAAATAAAATAATGGAGTAAAGACGCGACGTCGTTGGATCCTTTTCCTCCAATTATTTCTGGATAACAATAAAAGGTAGCACTGTTTGTTGATAGCACGTGAATGTTAAAAGAATGTAGGGTAAGTTGCCTTTTATAATAGATTTCATTGGTAGATAGATTTGGCATGGGTAGGTTTTTTTGAAAGTCCATCGCAATACATTCAAAATCAACTTGCTTCATGGCCTGTTTTCTGGCCAATTTTTTTCGCTGGTAAAATACCTCAGGCTTCCTTTTATGTATGTTATTCTCCAATGTTTTTTTATTAATCTCTGCTTCAATGCTTCTTTTCATTTCGTCAGTTACATCTGTACCACGTAGCTTGCTTTGAAGAACCTTAAGTTCAGCTAAAAACTGGTCACATGAACTGCAGGTATCACTTCGTGGGTAACCAAAGCTTATATTAAAATTCGTATTAAATATATATTATTTGCTTTAAGATACATATTATACATTTTCTTAATATTTAGGTCTTCAGGTAGGTACAACTTTCTTGTCTTAGATCTGCTATAATGACTGTTTCGCCCCCTAAAACTGAAAATATGTGATTTAATTTGACTCAATACGTGTTCTGGTAACTTATGCTTTTTTATGTTAGAGCCACGCTTGCCAACATTTTTTAAAGATTTCTGAATAGTTTCAATCCGTTTCTTTCCAATACCGTGCAAGCTTAAAAACGCTTTAAAGCATACTGGCACTTCTATTATTCTTACCCTAAACGCATAAGAAGCATCATGTAATTTAGCAGAAATTTCATTTTTAGGCCTTCTTTGTTTTACCGGAAGTACCGAAATTAGCCCGCCCAAGTACGTTTTGATCATTACGATTTAAAGAGTTAAAATGATTAATTATAAATGACCGGTTTTGTTCGTTAACAACACTGAAACACTTTAGTCTTTTGCAGTGACAATCTTCACCTACCTCGTGGCTTTGTTCTCGAAGTTTTTTCATCACATTACTGACA